AAATAGAAAAAAAAATGAAACTACACTACGCATACTTATCAATTGAACCTTTTAGTTGACTTAATATATTGTACTTGATTAAAGACATAAATGTTAATGTCAGTATTTAAACTAGAATCACCCCAAAGAAGTATTTTTAAGGTTATGGTGCTGATTATCCGTAAAGAATCGAAAAGTTCATTTCTTTTGATATCAAACAAGTTACATTCCATAAGATAGTGCTTTGCGTTTTCGGATGACGCGCCACAAGAACATTTAGGATTTTCAATTAAATTTATCCGAGCCAATGAACGAATACCACTTGTCACTATCAAAATAAATAAAACTGACCGTTTGCATTCTTCTTAAATTACCGCACAGCTTACATGGTCATCCAGACACTACCACAACCGTTAATGTGGACATTTGTCATAATCAAAATAAAACTGATCGTTTGTATTCTTAATAAATTTCCATCGGGCTTTAGATATTTGGGCGCTAGTTTTAGTCTTTTACTCAGAATTGCTTTTTTGTACTAAATGAAATATATCTTGAATGAGTCCTTTAAAAGGCCAAGAGCCAGCAGTGGCGGTAAGTTAACGGAGAAAATGAAATGGAAAACTTTGTCGTCTGAGAAATTGTAAGTGGCGAATGGTATGGTTTACGGTGTCTTGCTGAGCAATGTGTTTCATCGGGATTTCTGGTGAAATATAAAACGAGTTATTTCTGGAACAAAGAAATGATTTATCATCTGATAATTGCAATTACATCTGGCTTGTTCTACATCAACGCATTACAAATCATGTGGCAGAACCGTAAAATCTGGAACAAGAATAATTAGATCTTTTTAAAGACTACACCGCCAAACACAACACAACATTATAAATGTATAACTATCAGTACAAAACATTTCAAACTATCACACGTGTTTAATATCTTCGTTTCCAGAAACATAAGGTCGGGGGTGGGAAGTGACACACGAAGATATTCTACAGAACAAATTCGCTAATTCATTCCACTCAAATAAGTGCAGGGTCGGGGTGACCGCTGATTCTGTATGAGAAACAAGATCCCATGGGGGGGAGGGGTCACAAAAACCCAATATTTTATCGTTAGAAGCGATTCTCACCCGGCGCTGAAAAAATTATGCTGTACGAATATCTGAACCGCAATTATGTTTGACAATAAACATTAAGATTATAACCTTAGCATTGAAAATCCCATCGAAACTCCAACCTCGTGGGTTTTCTCCAGGTCCTCCGGTTTCCTCCCACTGCTAAAGACCCCTACGCGCAAGCGAATTATGTAAATAAAATTAAACCATATGTTAGTCCCGAAATGACCTAGTTTGTGTCGAGTGGACGTTAAACCCCATTTCTCTCTCTCCCATCGAAACTATTTGATTTGTTCCATTTGCGATGGAGGGGGACAAAAACTCCAGGGGGCGCAGAAACTAAAAACCATGACGCAAAGCGCGCCATTAGGCCACCTTTACTTAGCCATTGTATAAGCAGCGCAGTAAAATTGACAAAGTAAAGGTTAAATATAGAGTTTTAAGACCATAAGTGTCACACGGTTGAACTGCATGTGATGGACATTACCAAACTTATACAGTCCACATTAACAAACACAGAAACTGTGGTAATGTGAAGACACCTATATACAATACAATCATACGATATAAATATTGTAATTTGTTTATCTAATATTTAGTTTCAGCATGGACCATGATTTTGGAAACTATTTTAATATATAATACCTTTATGTGTTGTAGATATTTTTTCAATCTGCTAGGATATAATACCTTTATGTGTCTTAGATAGTTATTCAATCTGTTAGGAATTTGTTGGACTCTGATGTGCTTTAGGAGAATTTTGTCAACTTCTTCTTCCATCTGTCAAGGGTTCTTTGACGTTTACACCAATTCGTCCACGAATGGACCTTCTTTTTTCGACCCATCTGAACGGCTCGGTACCGTTTCCTTATCATACGCTCTAGCACCATCTTACGCTGGGATTTGAACTCCGAACATTTTAAACGAGAATAGTTACCGATCGAATAAAGGATTTCCATGTTTCTTATATACATCAAATACCAATTAAATCACCAAAAAACAAAGCGATCTGTTTATTCAATAAACCATATAACATACGCACATATTTAAATAGAAAACCGGAAATGAATAAGATGTAAATACTAAAATTGTAAATGTCAAAGGGAATTAGTCCATGGGATAATATCCCTTCACCAATTAGTAATTCTATAATTGAAAATGCTGCCAAACTGATAAAAACAAAACCCCTCGTATTGCTTCGGGTGTTACCTCGAAAATCTAGAATGTCAATTAAGCTGCTATCTACAAGACAACATCCCTCTAACTACTACTAAATTTTTAATAGAAAATGCTTACAAACTGCTAAAAACAAAACCGCACGAATTGCCTTAGGTGTTAATATGGAAATCCCAAATGTCAAAGCAAATCAAGCTTTTTCTATACCGTAAACCAATCAGAAACCACGCTCCCTCTTACAACTCAGCTCAGAGAGAAATAGTCTACATATACCACATGACACTTCAAAACACTTCCATGTGGACCATTTTACATAACTATGCAAGCCATGACTATGAACCCAAGTCTGAAAGTAGAAAAAATGAGAATTATTGAAATAAAGTAACAAACACTAGCTTCGAAATGATGTCCCTCCCAAAACTTGTTAAGATATGGTGACTCGGGTGTTCTAGATATAATTTAAAACCAAAGCTCAGTTAGCCAAATTACTTCTTCGGATGGGAAGGGGTAGCAGGTGTTCTAAAAGGACCGAACATATCAGTTGTTCTGGTGACGTGGGTCTAGTATCAACTAATGATACAGATGTTGTGTCACGATCTTTGTTGAAGTCATCTATTTGTAGTTGACAGTGACGGATAACTCTCAATATTAAAACACATCTTTTGCTCTCTAATCTATTTATTTCTACTCTGCAATTCAATCGTTCTCCCGTGGCTCATCTCTTTGCTGTTTGAAATAACGTTATTTTCTACTAGCGTCCACAATAAAGCCATTTTGGCAAGGACAGGAAGACATTTTACAAGCAAACACCGTGTTCCCATTTAAACCAGAAAGGAAGCCTCTTGACTCTTAAAATTATGTTCTGATTGCTCGAATAAGTTGTACAATTCGGACAAATTGCGCAAATAACACCCCAAACCAAAGTTACTATTCCAGACACAAGCCAGATAATTCACCTGTATCTCAGAAGTCAAATATATGCACTATTTTAATGTAAAGACGCATAAAGATATTCGTGTGATACTAATAGAAAACAAGTTAAACTTTAAATGACCATAGTACTGATCGATTTGAATATGTTGTAGATTAAAACAGTTTTAATAAACGTACTTTATATAATTACCTAAGTGCTGTTTTCTGGGGGTTGTAGCTTATTCCAACACTAACTACGATACCTTTGAATAAATAATTAATATTGCACTTTTAATAAACGAGTGTCCGAAACTGGCTAACGGTCACCTGGCTAAAGTTACAGTAGAATATGGAACTTTATACAAGCTTATAATTAGGATTAAAATAATTATATAATAATATTTGACCAGAAATGTTAAATTGTACATAGGAAACAGATGTTTAAATACAGAAGAAGATAGGCACATAGCAAGAACACGTATAATTATGCAATATATATCTTTACATTAAGTATAAACCCAAACAGTTAAACATACATTATGCAAGAGCTAAATTTGCCTATTGCAGATATTGCTTTAGGCCTGAAATGTTATGTTATCTAAATTATTAATTAGACATTAATTAACTTATCCAGGCCATAATCAACTCTCGATGGTATCGCTAGCCTGCGATATTTATTGGATTAGGTGCCGATTTGCTGTTCGATTTCCATTCATAATTAAATCATGAAATGGATAATCGAGACTATGTTTTTTATCCTACCGACTTTAGTAATAATGATCGAGGCTACACCGAAAATTCAATTGCTAAAATCTCGGTTCATAGTGTATCAATTTGACTGAAATTTTCAGCAAATTTTACAGTATATAGTTTTTAACTATTATAGTGAGAACTGCCAGCTCTTTATTTAATCTCCCATAATGTATCTTTTAAAAGAAAGATTAATGAGATATCAATTCGGACATTGGTCAATTACTACTTTAACTAAAATTATATAATAAAATATATAGAAAATACACTATAACATTATGATTGTCATGGAATATGATCTCAAACTCTATATTTAACTTTCATTTTTGACATCTTGGGGATTTAAAATCTATATTGTTCAACGAACGGATAGTACAAACCGTGCATAATACAGCACATATCTAATCAAATGTAAATAAATTTTGCAGCAACAGACACGAATGTCATGCCATGAGTTAAAACAACGTAAATGTATAAACACAGGAAGTAAACATTAAAAAAAAAAACACGACACGTTCCTGGCAGCAATTAAAAGTTGTTATTGTTTGGTTTATATCAAGAGATCTGACTCTGTAGAATTTTTCTATTACGTATCTTTGAATTTTGGTGTCCTCGTGTAATAACGCCGTTCAGGGAATAACATTTTCTTTTTGACATCAACATGACGTGATGAAGAACACAGTTATTGTGTGGTGCTCGTGACTTTTGTATCATTTCTCATTTGAGGACTTCACACAGCCAGTTTAATGGTGTTTGTACTTTAAATAAACGATTTGTTTAGCGCTCATTGTTAAAAACAGGTATTCAATTAGGTGATGTCACATTAAATGCACGGGTACATCTTATACCACGAGGTTATTTTTGGCTTCTGAAATGCATCTCCAAACCATTAGTCCAGTTTAACTATGATATTCACATATCCCACAGACTTTTGTCGTACTTTTGCACTGAAAATGTGAACTCCTGAAATGATGAGTGGTGTCCGTCCAGTTTTCGAATAAGAATAAGAATAATCTGCCTCTCAATTGAGATCTAGACTGATGTTTGATTCACTTATTTTATATTTCAGTTGAAGAATGTGAATCTCATAATTTATTTCCTTTCGAGGAGGACATTGAAGTTAACGAAGCTATTGATAGTCATTATTTAGGTAAGTTCTTGATTTAATTCAATCCCTCTATAGAAGATCAACTGCCATCTCTTCGGCATTCTGATTTCTTTTCATATTAATGTTTCATTATTACATATTTTAATAATTGGGGTTAATTATTAGGGACAGGCTCATTCTACCATGATCATAGAGCATTAATAGCTTTACTCAGCTTAAGAATTAATCAAAGATATACCCATCTACACACCTAACGCCCACCCAATTGAATCTTTAATTCTTTGGAATCCTGATAAATAATGAATCACACGAGTCTCATGAAAATTGTTTTGTTTAAAATTAATATTTTGAAACTTATATCCTCTGAGAAGAGCAACCGGGTACTTCCTGTTTTTAAATTAAATAGTTTCTCCCGAAGAAATGGGAAGCAGAATTTTGAATAAGTTTTCCTGATGAATAAAAATTCAAATTGGTGTGGCATAAAATATACTAAATTTATCGCAATTTTGTTAGTATTTTGCATTGCATGTTTTACATTGAGTGCTAAAAACGAAATAGAAATTTGAGTAGAACTTGAGTTTAGAAAAGTTTTAATGTCTTTATAACATGGCCTTATTATTATCACCCTTAGTTTACTTGGTGATGGTTCTTGAATATAAGACCGTTTATATTTGGTTGTTGTTTGTTTTGTTAATTCACCTGCATGATATGCATGATAACCGCAGGGCATGTTTGTTTGATAGATTTAATCCAGTCAAATCCCAATCTAGATTAGGTTTGTAACGATACTTAACTGTTATGACTATACAGGTTGAAGTCCAAGCTCTACTATGGTTAGGCCAACCATGTGGTTTCCAGCGAACCTCGTCCAATTTTGGTCACCTACGGCGGCAAATTCCGGCAGGGCCGGCGGAAGCAATTCTTGATTAGGGGGGGGGGGGGGCTTCCATCCTTGGTCCTTATAGGCGTGGGTCCAGGGGCCGCAATAACCTGGAGAAAAGAGTACTTGCGAATAGTCATTCCCTTAATAAAACATATTGACTTTTTTATTTGGTTAAAAAGTAAATTATCTTTGGTGTGGTAAGAAGTGAGAAGTGAGTAGCTATCTACATAAACGTTTTAGCCATAAAGTTAAAATTAGTAATTTTATCCAAAATTCAAGCTATTGGAAAATAACACACCAATCGAATTCCACACTCTATCTTGACTAAAATCCGAAATGTGTAGATAGCCCTGTCAAGAACGCGCGTCGTGCTGTACCTTGAGAGGCAGTCCAGCTATTTTAACCTACACGTCCACTCCTCAGCAAAAGCCACATAAAACATACATAACAGTTCCGACAGTAAATACATCTTTATTTCAAAGAAGTAGACTGCCCATGCTCCCTCCCCACACAAAATCCCTCCTCCCCCTCGGATTTGAGCATTTAGCATACAGTTTTTATACGCCCACATGTAAATGTGGACCTATATTGCCGTCGCCTAACGCCAAAAGTTACCAACCGATTCTTTTAAAATATATGCTAAAGAACTTTCTAAAATTGAATGATGATAAAACCGAATATTTGTTATTAGGCTCAAGGCATCAATTAAATAAATTTGCACATGATACCCCCCCCCCCCCCACACACACACACTATCCCCCGCTGTAATTGGTAATTTTGAAATACTTTAATCTTATTCTGCCGGTAATATTAGCATATTGTAAAGTGCCCCTGAACATGTTATATGAAAGGGCGCACTATAAATATGCTGTAATAATAATAATAATGATATTAGTGAGATGAAGAATGCTATTTAAGTTAAATAATTACCGTTAATTACTTCTAGAGTTATGGCCCTTGTGAATGCTCTAACATCAAAAGTTATCTGCCGATCTGTATGAAATTTATATGCGTCATTTAGATTGGTAAAAAAAAGAATCCTATTGAATTTCAGCAATTTCTGTTAACTACATCTAGAGTTATGGGCCTTGTTTCACTTTGTTGAACGCTCTAACGCCAAAGGTTATCACCCGATTTTTGTGAAATTTATATGGATTATTTAAATTAGTGACACGAAGAAACCTGTTAAGTTTCAGCAATTTCCTTCAATTACTTCTAGTGTTATGGCCCTTGTTTTACTTTGTGAACCTTGTGAGTGTTCAAATGACAAAAGTTATCCGATCTGTATGCATTATTTAAATTAGTAAAGCGAAAAAGCTTGTCAAATTTCAACAATTTCTTTAAATTACTTCCAGAGTTAAGGTCCTTGTTTCAGTTTGTAGAACCTTGTGCCCCCCCCCCCCCAACGACAAAAATTCTAATTTGATATGTATGAAATTGTCTTGTAAATGCCCCCAATTACCTACAGAAGAATAAATATGTGACAACCACGGTTGACCACGCGGACGATTTCACTGTTGTGGGCGTATGTTTCGTTGTCTGGCAACCTACCTTTTTAAAAAGCTTTTACTAAATTACATGTACATGATTTAAATTATGACATATCCCAAGGCGCTCTGTTCCCGTTTAAGTTCCTGTGATTTCAGGCGTCTCGATTTTTAATCGGTCAGTTGAAACATGACTACTGGGACGAGCATATTATAATGATGTGATATTTGACACTGGATCGAGAATAACTCAAGATTTCTGTCTTAATTATAAAAACATTATACGGTGCGGAACCCGAGACCATGATTACTCGCTAGTTTTTATATGGAACGCTTGACACATGGAATTAAATTCCCTCATAGCACCCTGTAGTCATATATTCGTCCGTCTTCATTAGCCCGGTCGGTGCAGATAACTAGGACGTTAAATGCTAGCATAATAAAATTAATCGATATTCCAATAGTATCACATGTTCCAGAAAGTGTAAGCAAACTCTTCATCGCTCGCGTGTAGACTAATAGGGCATTGAACCCCATTTCATTTCAGTTCTTCGCTTGCAACACCCTCCATTAATTATGTAGTCTTTAATACGACATACATGTATATTCAACTGACTAAGTAAACGTGTTAGGATTATATATGATGTTTGATTTTAATTACGAAGGGAAATCACTAGAGGAATAAACTAATGAGAAAGACACGTCTTTAAGACATTGCTTAATTTATTAATTAATTTTAATTACGAAGGGAAATCACTAGAGGAATATACTTATGAGAAAGACACGTCTTAAAAACATTGCTTAATTTATTTTCTACTCGATACCACACTAGAGACAGCATCTGGATAATTCCATTACCCGTCGTTATTATTTCCGTGGGGCTTAGTGGTCCGAGGTAGGAACTGTGGCAGCCATGCAGTTAGGAATTTGGAATCACGAAAAGAATATCCCGACTTTGAATCAGAAATTAGAACATAGAAATCTCCGCTCGACGTTAACACAGTATAGACAATTCACGTTTTGTTCGTTTCATGTCGAAGCGGGTACAATTTAGGCTTGAGAGAACTATGGAAGCCTATAACTACCATTCCTAATTTCTACTTTTCGCCTCTTCAGAACACGAAAAGTCGAAAAGTAGAAGTTACGACAAAATGTGAGGCGACAAGACGGTATACAAGCCAAAATGCAAGTCGAAAAGTAGAAATTAAGAAAAAACGGGGGGCGCTATTATCGCGGTGTGTTATTTCTTAATTTCCTATTTTCGAGTTGATTTTGGCTTGTATACCGTCTTGTCGCCTCACATTTTGTCGTAACTTCTACTTTTCGACTTTCGTGTTCTGAAGAGGCGAAAAGTAGAAATTATGAATGGTAGATATAGGCTTCCATAGAGAACGGGTATTTATCGCTTGCAAAGAATACTGGTGTTTACATCCCTAGAAGAGACTCAAAATGGGGGGTCATGACAAATGTCAACCATCGGAGTTCCGTCCAAAATGGCTATCCTGTAAATTACCCTGTTCCCCTGGTTGTTGTCAGTGACTCAGTGGATGACGTTTAAACAGATATAGGGTGAAATCAAATCAAATGTAGTCTACGGGGAATGTTACGTAATACAATTTGAGTTAGTGTTTTGTCTAACTGTCTACTCTAGGGACGTGTTTTCATATTTATCTTTAAAGTTAGTGACACCATGTGAATTCAATCGCTCGTTGGGATGGTTTCTTTCAATTAGAGATGCTAATACATCACAATAATTCAAATCGCTTATACACAATTACGTTGGCATGTCTATAAGCACGTAAAAGACTGCTGCTACGGTAAACCTACGTCTCGGCCCCGTTACTGTCACAGGGGTTAGACTATAGTCGCAAACTGGTGATTATAGAGCTAACTGTTTAGGGTTAGGGGATCTAGAACAACACCGTGGTTTCCAGCAAGCTTCATCAAATCGTGGCCATGAACGACTGATTTCGATAGAGAACGATGAGAAAGAGGAGCACGGGGGTAAAATTATCCATGTCCAAACCGTCGGTGACCAACAAGCCTTTCATTCCCTGCTATATGCTTGATTAGTTTTCACGGACCTGACTTCCCTGCGATACGATTCAGTCGAATCTACAAAGTGTTTACCCTAAATGTCTCGTATAAACGAATGTCGAGACAACAGAGTTTCCGTTTAACATTCGCTAAACGTTATTGTTTGTTTTGTTTTTTTAAACTATGTGTCTAACCGGTTATTACAATAAATTGACGTAGTGTGTCCGGGTCTTTAAATAAAATCAGAAGTATATAATATGTCTCTTGATCCAGTTATATACAGCGTCAGACTTATTACATTATACCCGTGCTTAATCCCCTTGACATCCAGCTGTTTAGTACTGTCAAACAAAAGCGATCAAACTATATGATTTTCTAGGATTGTGAAAGACATCCATTATTATGACGGAGGTCACCTTGGCCAAACCCCGATTTAGGGATAGTGCCATGATTGTTATATTACTAGATAATTGTTATCAGACCGATAACAATCTCTCGTAGTACTTTCGGTCTGGTGTACGTATATGGTTGACATAGGTTAGATTGCCAAGACGTCTCCAATAGTGAGCAAGTCTTCGGTTGGCAAAAGCTAACGCTGTACATTGCGTTCATATTCATTATTTATCAATACGAGAGCAATAGCTCAATTCTTCATTAGGAAATTAAAATCAAGCACAACCGATTCTAACTAGAGGTCAAATAGTAAGAGCGTGAGAACTAAAATCTCAGCAGACAACGGTTTGGAAAAGGCACATCATACACCCACTGGGGCACTGCAAGTAATAAACAATAAAATGCCATTATATCAAGTGAATGGATCGGGGACCGGTTTTATATGCCACTACGTTGTACAGTTCCGGATCAGTACCGATAATAGGCTCACTTAAAATGAAACCATACCCACAAGGGAGGTGACCTAATAAAGCAAGGTTCATCGGGAATTTCCGGTGTGGTTCCCCCTTTTAGTGGTGTAGGATGGTGGGCCTGGAAAGAGACAATTTTTAACGTATAGCCGTTCGGGTAGGGCCAAAAACCGAGGTCCCGTGTACCGTTGGCGTACACGTCAACGATTCCTTGACAATCGGAATTCGAAAAAATAGTAGGCCGTAGTGACGCTGTCAATTTTCCTCATAGCAGACTGTATGGCGTATTCCCAATGTTCATTTAACCCCATTTCATTTCATTTTCTTATTATCTACCCCTCGTACAATTTGGTTGTGCATTTAAAGTATACCTTGACATATAGACTTCTAGGAGGAAGTCCCACTGAACAGATCAGTAGCCCCCCCCCTCCCCTCCCCTCCCCTCCCCTCCCCTTGTACACGTAACTATAGATTATTACCATATGTTAGTCGTAAAATATAATTATGACGAGATGTTAAATTTTGAGTTACGAACACGTGGATAATTCTCGTATACATCTGTATTATACAATACCGAATTGTTTTCCTTGTGTTGTGATCTGAACCCCAAATAGATGATCATAATCGATTTTACCAACCCAATCAGCGTATATCATATCAGTTCCACTTCGTAAATATTATTGTGAAATTACTGCTACATTCAGTTGGTCTATGAATGGTACTCCAATTGTGAAGTTTATTTAATGTTCTTCGTGCCAGTACATTAGTACAAAAAATCAAACGATGGATTTGTTGTTTTCGAAATATACATTCTGTGATTGGGCTATTACTTTTACGGTCTCAGTATCTGTTCCCGGTTGGGTTTTATAGTCAAAGCATATTTACGACTGGTAAAGGCATCACGTAGCTAATGGTGCATAACGCCATGTCAGAATTCTTACTAATGAATTATTGAAGAGGTGGTATACGCTATTCTCCGTATAAACTACTTTGTTACTGCTATAAATAGTATTTGAATAATTAAGGATCGATTAAAACGGAGAGACACGGGGGATATAGGTCATCATCCTTAAGTTGATAAATTACTTACATGGTGCAAAATGAAATGGATGACTGGACGACCTGCACAGACCGGGGTAATGAAGTAGGAATTCTGCCATAAGCGACATTTGCCCGGAAATGAAATGAGGTTTAACGTCCTACTTTTCTGCACTGACTGGGTTAATGAAGACGTTAAATTTGGGTTTCCGTGAAATAAGTGCCATTAAAACCAACAGACGCTGTTCTTTGATAGCTTGGCCATCCTTCCTATTAGTGTAACAGAAAATAAACAGCATAGAACTGGGTTTGGCGTCATGTTGAGCCACGCCTATGATACTTGTTATTGTTGTGATAACTTGTGCAAATTATGTCCGAAGAGTGATGTTTCGCCTGCTCCTCATTAGTCTCGGTCACCCAGAACCTCCTAGTCTTCAACATACGGAGGGTCTGGGACCGTTGTCAATATTTCACGTAAAGTCCATTGCCCATGCGTAACCGGGAGTTTGGTTTTTAATGTGGTTGATTATCCAGTCTCTTTAGCCAAATCAAGTAAGAGTTGCACCCCTTCCCACAATAAATCCCATAATTCTTGCATTAATATAAACAAACATGAATCGTGACGACGAATTAGGATTAATTTTAAAAGCATAGATATGGCCCATGAAGAGAGAAATTTTACAATAAAAAATTAAGAGTGTTAGATATTAAACTGGCATGCAATCAAATGGATTTTTTGAAATGACATCCTTAAATTAATTTCATGGGCGTAAACATCCTGTTTTAAGAGGAGTTACCTCCCTTAGACATTGTTTATGATAATGTAATACACCGGATTATCTAGACAATTTTTCTCAAATGTTGACAACGCATCCAGACTAATATTCGTAGAATATTTTTCTGGATGATAGAGACTAGCTCCCCATGGACTTTCAATATTGTCAACGGTTCTCGTGCACGTCAATGGGTACATGAGTTGACATGGGTTTGTTATCGCAGCAAAAACATTCAAATTTTAAGAACGAATTCCTCGATATTAAGACATGGCCGAGTGTCAGTAAAAACTGTCAGTATCATTGAAGTGCTAGCATTTCTATTTCTATTTGCAACATTTGACGTAATTAAGTAAGGGGCGGATTTCACCAACTCTTACGTGTCTGCGTGACAGTTGACATATGCATGTTAGGAACGGAAATGCAATCAGATAAGGAAAGTCAGAATGTCTACTCGCGAGTGAAATTTTACATCTTTGACCACACGTCACCCTAATACAATAATAACCTCCATCCAACACTACACGCCTACGAATGTGACACGATGGAGTTTTTTTTAGTTGTTTGAAAGGTGTGAAAATAGATACAGATTGCGGGGTTCACGAAAACAGGGTTCTATTGGCAGCTGGAATTCGACAAATAACGATGGGAATCGCATCTCAAGGATTTAGCCATAGCAAGTAACAAATAGTAGTCTCAGAATATGGTGTCCATATTTCTATCAAATGTTATCATCTGGCGCTGAAGCTGATAACCTGTGGTATATGAACTCTTCGCCTTTGAAAGAAAATAATAAATTATTTTAAGAATGCAACAAAAGCTTGTTAGTTACTATTGTGTTAGTTTAAAGATAACGATTATCATAAAATACTGCTTGAGCCTAGATGAATGCATGCAAAGCGTATTAACCATGGTTTTAGAATAATCCCAGACCAAACATATGGTGGCTTTGAATGTGAGTGCTAGCATATTTGCCTTAAAATCTCCTATTGCGTCTTGTGGCATGAACAGCTTATTATTATTAACATTGAAATAATCTCTAATTTATAAGATAAGACGTTACATATATCATGCATAACATATATAATTAGAGAAGATATGGCTATGTAATAATTTATTATTAATTATGTCGTTTTATCCATTTATGCATCAATTGATATTCATTATATATTATTTTTCATGTGTTTGAATTACTAGAGACCAGTGGTTTACTGATATATTCGGCCAAGCTTTGAGCATAATCAAATTCGGGTCTAAGTGTTAGTCGAAAACTAAATCATGTGGACGATCTTAAATCGCATGTGTAATATAAGACAAAGCTGTGCATACCCTACTTAGTATAAGGCAACCGCCACTTCGATTCAGATTTATATATGAAAAAGGTACTATAAAAAAACTGAAAGCATTACTTAAGGAATCTGAGATGTCAGCTACAGACATAGTGTACCTTTTTGATTCTAGAATTGTAGAATTTCTGAACGGCAGCCTTTAAATGTGTTGGTGTTTATCCTCCCTATAAAAGTAATGATAAAACGTTGTCATTTCTATATATGATGTCTTAACACTAACAGATTAAAATAAAATGCTCCGACGTGGTTCCCCCTTGTCAGTGATGCAGGATGGAGGGTCTGACAAGGACAGCTGTCTAGTCGTTCGCGTAAGACGAAAAACCGAGGTCCTGTGTGCACATTGGCGTGCACGTGAAAGATCCCATGACAGTTGGAATTCGATATAAGAGTAGGCCGTAGTGCCGCTGTCCGGGCAAAATTTCCCTCAAAGCACACTGCATGGTGTATGCCCGTCATCATTAGCCCAGTTCAGATCAGAACTGTAGGACGTTAAACTCCATTTCATTTCATTTCAAGTAAAATGATGTTAAATGTTTAACCTTTCATTATTTTTAATTCAGATTATCGTGCCAAAGAAGTTTTACAAATAGGTAGGTCAAGAGTCATATGTCATCTGTCATAGACTAAAGGGGTTTAAAAATGATATATTACATAGATTTAATTCATACAGAATAAGCATACTTAGATTCCAGAAACGGAAATTTGCTCACTTCCTTGAGGATTTGCAAATAAGTAGACCAAGGTTCATTTTATGTTATAAGTTATAATAGGTCAAAGAGGTTAAAGGATAGTTCATATTTGCAAATAAAACAGAATACGAATACTAGGTTTCCGGAAATGGAAGTTTGTTGACTTCCTTCCGTTTTACAAATAGGTAGGTCAGGAATCATAGGCTAAAGAGGTTAAAGGTCATTTATTTCATACAAGTAAAACTTAGTTCACTTCCTTCCGTTTTAGAAATAGGTCATAAGTTACAAGTTACGGGCTAAAGAGGTAAGGTTATACATTTCATAGATTATATCCGAAAATAAAACAGAATAAGTGTACTAAGATTCCAGAAACGGAAGTTTTGTTCACTTCCTTCTGGTTGTGCGTTCAGCATGATATCAATGTATAGATGTCTGTATTTTATCTGTAAATATTTTCTTTTAAAAACTGCACACCCTTTTTATTCAAATATCCTTCTTGTATTGTACTGTTTATTGTATATTTTATAAAATGTATGTCTATGTCATTGTATCTAAAATGTGTAAATGGTTGTCATTTGTTCAATCGATTGCGGGTTGAGCATCTCTAGCCTAATGCATACCGTAAGTATATGTATGTAGCCAACTTACACGTAGAAGGGGTAAATTATATCCGGACATTTCCCAATTTAAACAGAGGTCAAAATAAAGTTTAATGGACAAGTTTGGCAAATAAAGCAACAACAAGTGTATTTGCATGCTGAAATACTTTGGTTATTTAGAATAAATTTATAATAAATCCAGAATTTGCCAGACTTTATTTTGGATGCCTTAAAACCAGCTTGCTAAATAGAAAATGTCAATCCTTCATGGTGCATTTAAATGATATATTCTAAAACAATGGTTAACACAGAAATTTAACTCTACAACATTCAAGGTGTAAAGTTTTAACACCTAATTAGTTTGTGATTTTGTGACGTATGTTGATATTTTCTATTGTTTATTTCAGATTATACTCGCACTGTTATCGCCTTTACCATTATAGCCCTAGTACTGATGTGTATTGTTCATTCATTCGCTTTTTATACCATACGACGACCTCGTTACATTATTAAACGATTAACAGCCTTATTGCATTTCATGACAGGTGAGTAATCTCCCTTTATTGTATTTCAAGATAGGCGAGTAATCTCCCATTATTGAATTTCATGACAGACTTCCATCTTTCCGAACCGTGGGTTACACGAAAAAGAGACACATCAGGAACACCACAAAACAGTTTATTTACAATACACAAACAGGATTAAATATACAGAAAGAAGAAGAGATATATTGCCTATTACAGGTAACAATAAAACATTGACAACTGTTATACACGTATTACATATTATAATGAAATAGATTAGAAAGATACCCAAGGTTGCTCTTATGAAAGGAAGACATAGAGAACTTTACATTGTCAAAAAAAACCACATATATTATAAAGAATAAGGATGCGAAACACTAAAAGATAAAACAAACGCTAAATTAGACAATATACATTTTAAAATATAACTTACTACTTATGCATTTTTATTATATTATCTTATTTGTAATTTATATAAGAATAAAACAGTATTTAAGTTAGAAAGGAATTGTCATATTTAATATTGTCAAGTTATACAAATATAAACCTACCTGGGTTAGTGAATTCGGTCCTTTAACAAAGACAGAGAAACTGATGCATTCAAAATGGAGATTAGGAAAACGGGACCAGGTGAAACAGGATGTTAGGATAGTAGCTAAGTTACCGATTTCTACTCACTGCAAAAAAGGTAGAAACTGAAGATGACATTTAGATGTAGGCTACCTGCTTTATTATACAGTTCACCGATATGGTTACTTGTATAGGTAATTTTTCCCTTCAATATGCTTACATTCATATTCCATGTGGCATATAGCAGATCATGACCCGTACTAGTATTACACAAGTTTTGGGGATATATTCCTCCGTATTGTTTTCATTTTTGAGTGAAGTCTGTATCGCTATAGGCCCGGGACTGTACAACGCAGTGAACACTTACGGCTGGCCCCCGGATCCATTCACTTGATTTGATATTTGTTTATTTATTTTTTTTTTGCAATGTCTATATTCTGTCTTGTCCGCAGGTTGGTTTATCTTGTAGATTTTGTTTTGCGTTTAATGTGATCTTCCTGCACTTGCTACGAGAAAGTCAAGACTACAACATGCTATATGAAATGTCTAGTTGAAAAAGACCATTTAAAGAACTGAGTTAACTGAATGACGAAATAAACTGATATCAAACACATGATGAAAGAGGCTACATGTAAAAACTAAATATATGCCAACTAACAACCAAATATACCCTACTCCAATTACAGCGTGGGACAGACGTGTTATAAAATGGGATTGAACGTCCTGCGTTTAAGTACTAGTCTAACTAAAGTAGAAGGGCATAGACCATACAGTGACGTTCTCGTCGATGCTTCGCCAAATTCCAACTACAGTGGGTACTGTTACATGTTCGGCATAGTGTGCACGGATCTGGCACGCTGAAATATCCCGGAGGACTTTCTTAGCTAACAACCCCCCTACTAAATCAAAACAATCACCCATAATTGCTCAGATGGTTATTGGACTGGTTATCAATGCCTTAGGAATATAGAATTCAATGAAATGTGGTTTAACATCTCACTGTTTTGCACCAACTGCTGGCTAATGAAGACAGGCCGGCGCTATATAGTGTGTTGTATGGGGAAAGTGTGCCCTTATAGCGGCGCCACGGTTTTTTTTCTCCATGTATTCACTCTCCTTCCTTTTTAAAATGAGTCCTCGAAAACCACATTAAAGTAAAAGACCGGAAGTAATCAGCCCAAGCAGGCGACTGACTATCAGCCTATTTGCTTTTCAAAAAAGCCCATTTATATAATTATTCGGAACATTCAATAAACGAACTACCCACTAATGTTCACCTGGACCATGTATTTCACGATGTCTTCATTGTAAATTGATTAATAACGGTTTTTCTTTTCTATTTTTCAGCTGCCTGTATTTTGGTATTAAACGAAGTTTTTGTAAAAGCTGTTGAACATGAAAGGGAACATCTGGCCGATCGATTTCCGGATGGTGGTGATTCGGAGTACGGTTTCTCGTTCGTTTTCTCCTGGTTGGTGTTCATCGTGTTCGTCGTTGTGGGACTTATATTCCTTTTCGTCTCGCATAAACGTAAAGCCGACATGGGCGAAGACGATGATGCTTTAGCTCAAGAGGATGAACCCATGCAGCTGGGTCGAGTGTAGGGTATGTAATCGGTTATAATGATAACAGTGACGTTACACGGTGTGATATAATTTGAAATGTGATTTGTTAAAAATAAAATTCATGACAGTAGATTTTATTTCATCTCCACCCTCACTTTTGTACGCATATATTTCTATGTTTGTGCGCGTTTATGACGTCGGACTTCCCGACCCCCGTGTATAAATAAATATGCGTGACATAAATTTGGGAAAATTAAGCAATGTTTCCCCAGTCCGGAATGAAACTGAATGAGAAGCCCGGAATAATAAGTCTTCGGTTTACATAAAGTATTCGAAAAAAAAAATAAATAAAAAAAATAAAGCTCAAAAGTATAACCTAACAAGATGAAGTGAAACCGGATGTTCCAGGAAGAGTAAGATCACGCCCCATGCGAAGTGATTAGTTGAACGTACTATTGCACCCAAGTTAGCCGGGAAATAAAAAGGATATACTCCCTGTAATATTGATAATAGCATGTATCAACTTACTTTATTGCTTTGTGGATAAAGGTGTCGTTTGTGAGATATTTGAAGATTATCATGTATGGTGTGAAATGCGATTTGTTAATTCTTCCACTTTTAACTACACCCCCCCCCCCTTCCTCCGCCGAAAACATAGTTAACTTAACTTATTGCATTGTGGTTATGTGGTGACAGTGGTTTAGTGAGTACAGAGACACAACCTCATCATGTACTACTGCATTATCAGCACCACAAATAAAGTTATTGGAAGATTGTAATGTGCTATGTCAAATGTGATTTGTAAATTCCTCCACCTTTAACTACACCCCTAACCCCATCGCCGACAGCACTGTTAAGTTGAAATCGTAGATATATTGTTCTATGAATAGGAAACGATTTTCCCAACCTGATGCAGACGACAGTCTTATGTCAGTTTGAGCGAGAAAGAATTAAGAGACTAAGGAAAACAGCTTGCATCAATGTTCCTTTAAATAAGGTATTATGGATGGATAATTCGTCTATAAGATTCTATGTCAGCAAATACATGACATCATAATCCAAATAACATGCCTGTTGATAAACTAATACATATTTATATATTATCTTTTATAAGCAAAATAACACCCATCGGGTGTTATTATATGTCGACAATAATAATATCCAATGCATTGGATTGCAGCGTTTCCTTTAACAGCATTGTGTTATGGAGTTATTTCCCTTAGGGTTTCCAATTTACAGAATTTTAAAGGTTTAATAATGTTCAAAACCGAACCAATAGAAACCTTGTAGACGTTAACACTAAATATTTAACAAACACAAATTATTTTTCTATTTTGTTCTGTTAGGACTAACTAATTGAAATATTAATGTATCTTTACTTTTGTAATTTAAACTTGAATTTCGTGTGTTGGTTGAGTGGTGTTTTGACTTCCAAACTTCCATTATTGTTTACGCTATTTGCTACCTCTACGTCTGAGTAAATATTCTCAGTATTCGCTTCTTTTCTGTTGACAATGTTTGATATGTTTTTATTGCAATAACTCATATTCGCTTCTTTTCTGTTGACAATGTTTGATATGTTTTTATTGCAATAACTCATATAAGAAAGATAAGTCAGTTGCCACCAAACCCTCTTTCAATTGGGTATCATTTTCCTTACGTAATCCATAATTGACGCCACGTGTATCAGAATGAAACCGGCGCTCCCGCATAATACAGAAATCGTCCCATGGAGTCTGCGGAGATGCAAATATAGAAGAGAAGGTTTTTGGTTGTCACGTCATAGACAAGAAACAGTATATCCGTTACGAAACGATATGTATAGGCGACGGAATAGGCTACCGCTTTGGACCCAATGAAACCTCATACCATTCATCACGACAGTTAATGGTGACCACTATTACTGATTATAAATCTATAATGCACATAACCAAATTAAATAATCACGCAAAGTAGAAAGATATTCGTGCCATATTTAAGATACGGACTATTACGGACATTTTAAAGGGAATCTGTAGTCAATTAACGGTAAACGTTTTATATTATATATAAGGAAACATAATATAGAATAATCCACGTGTTTCACTGCCCGAAAACTCTCGTAAATTAGAAGAAAATGACATCAATAGGTAAAGGGGATGCTGGACAATCTGATGAATTTTACTTATAATGAACACTGTATATAATTGTGTATAGTTCGCTAATGTTTGCCCAATTTTATTTATTATTAAAGATGCATTATGTAAGAGCTACATCTGCCTGTAGCAGGTTTTTTTCTGGCTTCATATGTTATAAAATTATTAATTAGACATTTATACACATGACAAGCTTATGTTCACCTTGCTGGAACAATTGATCGCAAATAGATTGGAACACCCCGGCCTGTAAAGAGTTTAACGATCAAATAGATAATCGAGACATTGTCGAGTGCCGTATTTGACTGAAAGTTTTCATTATCTATTTTTGAACTATTATAGCCGGAATGACAAATCTAATTCTTACATAATGCATGGTTAACTTTTATTTATTTATTAAATTTTTGCATTTTTGCGTTCTAATCTATTTATATTGGTAAGTTATTAGAAGATACCGATCACGCCTTTAAAAGTTTTTTTTTTCACGCATATATATTCAAACCAATGTAATAATTTTCGTAAATGAAATACGTTGTATTATATTCAGGACAATATTCAACGTTGATATTGTATTTATATGCCATAACTAGCTAGTTGTGTAGCTCTGTAAAAGCCAGTGCATATTAGCTTTGTGAGACTATAGTGCCTATGTGTGTGCCATCATGACGTATAATATGTACTTCGACAAGTAAGCCTTACGCATATTTCGTCGTGGTACGTTTGAGAATAAATGAGATATGCCATTACGTGAAGATGCCATACGATCGGGTTTTGATCGCATTCAAACGATTTCAATTTAATAAGAAGAGATTTTTAACCGTTGCCGTCGTGGTTTCCCTTGTCGCCCAAACACTATGCTTAACCCTTTAGCACTTGGTACATGTAAATATTGACTACCCCAGTTCCTTGAAGAAAATTAAAGGAAAGCGATATATTGATACCGGTATATCCCTGGACAGACCAAAACTGCTGTTCCTTAGACTGCCTCACACTCCCATAAATATGTTAAAAGCTCTTCGTATTACAGGACCGTTTACGAATTCTTGGGGTCTGTCTAAATGCTAAAGGGTTAACAAGCATAACAATTCCACGGAAATCAACCACTTTACGTATTAAGATAATACTTTGAGGTTTTGTATTAGTTGTATATTTCATTGTTATTCATTATAATATATATGATAATATTTAATTATGATCTCAGCAGGTAAACTAATACAACCTTTTTACATACTTTCAAAAGTTTTGGTGCTTTAATTAATAGTTTTTTCGTATTTAATTGTTTTTCGTTTTGTTTTAGACTTTATGATATTCTAAGATGATTATGACAATGTTGATATTATTTACAGCATTTGTATCTCTTCTTGTGTGTTTATACCATCAATATTTTGGTTAAAAAATTGTCACGCTGTCTCACACGACATTCAATATCTGGACAGGCATGACGCTTATGTACCTTTACGTGAGTACATAATTCACCATGTTCGAAGAAGAATAAACAAACAAATTAGGTTGCGCATAATATGGCCATTAAATTCACATTAAATGTCGCCTTGTTTTTCTTTTGTTACAAGCAGAGTATGTAACAGTACAGAAATTATATTGCATTTCATTGAACTATTCCAATATGAATATTTATATTAGTGCTTTGCGCAGAAAGAGACCTCATTTTACAACGATTATCCAGTACTACTTTCTAGGTTAATTCTTATGAGGTCTTGATGTCTGGAAGTACTGAAAATAACATGGTCATTCAGAAGATCATGTTGTCATATTAACCAGAAGCCGGCCATGTCATCATAACGACCATCTTAGAATTGCGAATTCATATTAACAGATGCGCAATTGTCGAAAGAACATGTCAAGTTTCATACTTGAATTGGCGGAGCCTTATACTTTTTGAAGCGCGCGTTCGCCCCGACAGTTCCTGATTCAAAAATTGGTCAAAATGAAAATATTTTTTAGAGATTAAATTGTTCATTCTGTGCCGTGATAATTTTTTATTATTATTATTTACTTTATTTTTAATTGTTTTGAAGTATTTTGGATGTTTTTGATTTTGTCTTGAATTGATTGAGTGTAAATAGGATATAATCTGATTTAACTTTTCTAATATAATAATAATAATAAAAACAAATAATTATGCACGTGCAATAAATTTCTATGCACATTGTTTGTACACAAATCGTGCACGTGCTGATCCACATGTTATTATGTTTAAACTGTTTTTAATCTTCTTTTTTTCACATCGAATAAAATATTTTAACACCTATTTTTTCAATTCTTAATGTTTTCAAAAATAAGTAAATGGTTTCTTGAATATTTGGTGAGCCACTTCTAGAGTCTTCATCGTGGGTTCTCCTTGTCAATGGTGCGGGGTACCTGTCAAATGCATGAGTCGGGATTATCATCCTAGAACGTTCCGAATAGACGGAATTGTAATCGAGTGACGTGGAATTCAGTCCCGGCACGATTCTGGCAATCCCGATAACAGAGGTGAGTTGTCATGGTTGGTTTAGATATTTTCTTTTGCAGTCAACGCATGCGTTGTAGTATGAAATCCCCCCTTTTAACTCAATTGTCACTAATTTTGTCATTGAGAGAATTCAATTTCGGAACGTTCAATCGAGGAGTCTCAATATATTGCACATACCAAACGAGTTCGTAAATACAAGGGAGGCTATTCCTGATAGACTGTTTTATAACTTCCTTATATGAATATCACATGAAAAAAATCTATGAAATGCATTCCGGGGCACCATATTAACACTATCTAATTCTAAAGCAA